CCCAGACTCCAGCCACTCCCACCCCACCACCAGTGTGAACAGCAAGGACAGGACTCCCAGCAGGACCACCTGGGACCATCTGGGTGGACCAGGAGCCTTGGGCAAAAAAAGCAGGCTCTCTGGGTGCACAGCCACGTGCTGGGTGAAAGCCTTTAGCAGGGACATGTTTCTGTGTGCTTGTCAGCAGCCCGGGAGAGGAAAGTCAGAAGCCCCCAGGGTCTTGGAAGTCTCTGGGGCTCCTTCAGCAAAGGGCTCCTGTATGTGCATTTTTGCAAGACTGATTGTTACCGGGAATAGCAGTAACCCAGGAACCCACCAAGCCCATCCGTGGCTCCAGTGGATTGGAGGAAGCTCCTTTCTGGCCAGTCTCCTTCTGGGGAGCCCACCCAAGTGGGGACTGACCTGGAACCTGGGGTAGTCCTGGTTCAGGCGCTGGGAACTGTCCCCGTAGCCTGGCTGCTGCTCCTAGACCCACCCAGAACTGCCCCTGCCCTTCACACCCCTCAATCCCGTCTAGTGGGGCTATACCAGGCACCGTGCCCGCCTCACAGAGGGCCAGCCCTTCTCCCCTCATCAAAAGCCGCCTCCTACTCCAAGGGCAGCTCAAACACCATTCCCTGCAGTTATCCTCCAGTTCTTCCCCGCAGAGCTTGCCCTCTCTGAGGCTTCAGAGCCGCTTTCCTCACTCACTCCCTGGCACCTGGTGCACGATAGCTCAGGAGATCTCATAGATGCAATGAGATGGCAAGGCTGGAATACATTCTCCGACTGGCGGAGCTCAGTGTTTGTCTGTGAGCCCCCCGTAAGATGCCCTGAGCTCTTGGTGAGTCAGTGTGAGGAGACAGGTGCAGCTTTTCAAGGAGCCAGAGCACCAGGCCTTCCTGGTGGCTCCGGGCACTGCCCTCCCTCCCTGTGGACGTAGTCAGCAGAATGACCACGGAGAGCAAACAGCCATGGAGAACACTTGCATGTGGCTCAGTGCAGAAACCACTCTGTCTCCTCTCTCTGAAAGCCAGATGGCCTGTGGAGAATCACCTCTCTTCAGTCTCACATACTGACTTTTCCAACTTTTCCATCCATTATATTTCTTCTAAAAAGGAGGTTAAGTAAACCTTCTATTTCAATGTGGCTAACAGTTGTGTTTGAAGAAGGATGCCTTACAAAATAAGGGTTTTAATTTCAGTCTCAGTAACCAGGGCTAGAGTTTGAAAGAGCAAACTGCAGGATCACTTAAGCCCAGGAATTCAAGACCAGCCTGGGCAACATGGTGAGACCTCATCTCTACAGAAAATTTAAAAATTAGCCGGGTGTGGTGGTGCAGGCCTGTAGTCCCAGCTACTCAGGAGGCTGAGGCAGGACGATCGCTTGAGCCCAGGAGGTCGAGGCTGCAGTGAGCTCTGATCGCACCCCTGCACTCCAGCCTGGGCAACAGGGTGAGACCCTGTCTCAAAGAAAAGAAAGAGCAGATGACCTGGAACCCCTTTGTGTGGTGATGTGAGTGGATGTGCAAGTGTGTGTGTGTGTGTGTGTGTGTGTGTTATGCACACACAGGATTTCCACCACGCCCCCACAGCTCTGGTGGTGCTTTCACCACGACACTGTCTGGAGCCAGTTTGCAATTGCATGCAATGCTGACCGGTGCCCACTCCTAGCACAAGGGACTAATTTTTAAAGAGTGGGAGTAAAACAACTGAAAACCTAAAAGCTGCTCTGAACGCGATTCTGTAGACTCCACAGGGAGGACACTGAACACGAACCCCGTCAGCACCCCGGTTTTTAGGAGACCATCTGACATGCCCAGCCCTAAGGGAAGGGGTGCAGAGTGGGACTGGGGGCCTGGGATGGGGGAGCTGGAGAAGGAGCAAAGGAGCAGTGCAGGACACCTGTGAGTGACTATTGCTGGCATCCCAAACGCTGCTCTATCGTCAAAATCATAGAAAAGAAAAAGAGCATTTAATACAATCAGCAGACACTGTAGCCTCCCCCGCCTGCTCCCCCATCCAGCTTCTGGACTGTGCCTCCCATTCTTCCTCCTTCCTTTTCTGCCAGCTCTCAGCTTCCCAGACTCAGGTTTGGGTTTTATTTTGTTTTCCTGGCAAGTTGAGCAGTGCTGGGAACCCCATGAGCCGGTGAAGGGCTCCCTGCTGGAGAAAGTGGTCAGTGGCCACAGGGTGTGGACGGATGGGCTGGCCACGTGCCTCAGGGACCCTGCCGTGCCTTGCTGATCGTCTGCCGCTGCCTCGGGTACACTGCACCCTGGAGAGACCCTCATCTGTGCTGGCTCACTCTCTGCTTTGTTTCTCTAGCGCTATTACTGGAGGCGCTTTGAAAGGCATTTCCATCTGTAGGTTGTCCCGACAGAAGGCAAGCAGTGCCAGGGAGGGAGCGGGTATCCAGAGAAAACCTGGGATGCCCAGTTACATCTGAATTCCAGAACCATCATTTTCAGATTCTGATTTAGCGGGATGTGTTGTTTTTTTATAGCTTAAAAAAAAAAGCAAAAACAAGAGAGCCTCATCTGACATTGAAGTCCCAGGTTCTGGTTCAGCGGTTCTGGCCTGGTGTCTGAGCACACCCCGGCCCTGTGAAGGCGGCCAGCCGGGGCCAGAGCAGAGAGGCTGGAGCAGAGCCAGCATCAAGGTCCCCTCAGCCGCTGGTGGTAGCCAATGAAGGGTAAAGAGAGAAAAAGGAAAAGCCAGCAGAAAAAAAGTCCCTCCCAGATACTAGCCCAACTCTACCTTCCATTTGAGAATTTGGAGCCAGATGCCAGGCAGCGCTGTGTCCCCGTCTCTGCTCCGTGGTGGGCAGCGGGAGTCCTCGGACCTGGGGCTGCAGCCCACAGGATGGATACGTGACCCTTGTCACTTTCTGCAAAATTGAAGAGGGCTGTGGGGCACTGACAAGCACACCATGGGGACTCAGATGCAGCCCCCCGAACAACAGCTCTCTCAGCCCCTGGGTTTGCACACTGGGGTCGAACACCCCTAGGCCAGGAGTGGAGCTGTGTCCAGGCTGGAGTGGTGTCTAAGGGTGTGGGTTTGCAGGGCCCCTCGGATGTGGATTGCAAAGACCCAGCAAGTCCACTCAGGTGTTCCCGTTATGCTTTTCTGTGCCTTACGGGGGGATTATATCCCTTCATGCTTTTCCTGAATTGGGAGTATTGTAGGGGAGTCAGAAAGTCCACGGAGAGGGACGGCTGCTGGCGGCCCCGCATGGCAGTGACCTGGGGGCTGCTTGAGCTAACGTGGTCGCAGACCTCATTTTGGAAAACCTCCTGAGTCCGCTGGGTACACACGGTGCCCCTCTGGTGTGTGCGTGTCACATGTTGCATGTGTGAGTGAGTGTCGTTCCTCGTTGCTACCGCAGTGCAAGCCCCCCTCGCTATCCAAGCCATTCTATCAGAGAGCCTGGGGTGCAAAGAACACCGCTTCCTCCACGTGTGGGTTTTGCCTCGTGAGTAGCAAGAGTCCAAAGAGAAAGCGATTTCCCTGAACCAACCCCTTTTGGTGCCCGGGTTCAGAGAGTGAGGATCGGAGAGAGTTTGGATGCAAGGATGTGTTATTTACCAGGGCCCGCAAAACAAGTTACTACGCGTTAGGTGGTTGCAAAGAGCAGAACGTTTTCTCTCACAGCTCTGGGAGCCAGAAGTCCAAACTCAAGGTGTCGTCAGGGTCCTTCTCCCTCTGAAGGCTCCAGGGAGGATCCTTCCTGCCTCTTCCAGCTTCCAGTGACCAACAACTCTTGGTGTTTTTCACTTACAGACGCATTACTCCAGACTCTGTCCCCATCTTCACTGGTTGTTCCACCTGTGTGTCCTGTGTGCAAACTTCCCTCTTCTCATAATTTCCCTCCACTCATCAAATTAGGACCCTCCCCCTAATCCAGTACGACCCTGTCATCACCAATTGCACGTGCAAAGACCCTATTTCCAAATAAGGTCAGGTTCACAGGCGACAGGGCTTAGATTTGAGCGTGTCTTTTAGGGGGACACAGTTCAACCCACAGCAAAGGGACTCTGGTGTGGCAAGGCTGCGGCTCTGCCCAGGGAGCAGGATGGTGCTGTGGCGTGAGGGCCTCACAGTGAGCACAGCACCAGAAGTTCCGTGCACATCCGTCCTTGGATGAGGCTCCATGGCCTCATCTTCAGCCATCTCCTGGTCACAGCTTAGAAGGTTCCTGTTCCTTATCTCCCATCTGAGTATCCCAAGAAGAGAGACCAGATGCTCGGAGGGTCAGCACCCAGATGAGTGCAAAAACAACTGTGTTTAGATTCCAGCAAGACCTGAACCTCCACTTCTTATCTGCCTATGCTCCCTATTCTATGGGAGTCTAATGTGCATCTAATGAGTGCCTGGCCATGGCTTGGTAAGAACTGCAGGGTGAGAGCTGGATGGCAAGGGTGTATTGGTTGCCTGGGGCAGCTGAAACAGATCACCACACCGCAAGGCGATAGACCAGGCCAGCCATCGTATGAGGGGCCAAGGGGATTCCAGCCTGAGGCCTGAGTCAGGCACAGTGGGGGTGGCCTGGCATGGGGAAGCATCAGTGAGGGGCATGGTAAGGCAGTCACAGCCTGGGTGGCCAGGGGCTGAGAGGGAGGGTGGGGTCAGCTGGTAGGTGCTTCAGAGCAGGCCGCCTCTCGAGATTCCACCCTGCTGTGGGCTCACCGCACAGCACGCAGCCTCCTCGCCATCCGCATCTGTCCCCAGCCTCCTGCCCCAACCTGGGGGCTCATTTGAGGATTTGAGCTGGACGGGGGACAAATTATTTATGTCCCCACACACATGCACGTGAAAACCGGAATTCTGAAAGTGGCTCCACAGCTCGGTGCTGTGCCCTGGGAGCTGCCTGGGTTCCTCTTGACGAATCTGACACCTGTCGCTGGAACCCGCGACTTCCTTCTGTGTAGCTGGCTAGTTAAACGGGTGGAGGTGAGCCCCGCTGCAGGCCAGCTGGGTTGACTCCCGTCGTGTGACCGAGTCGGTGTGATGTCTTTGCAGCCTCCGAGGGACGAAAGCCTGAACGGCCTTCTTCAGGGATACAGGATCTACTACCGGGAGCTGGAGTATGAAGCTGGGTCAGGCACCGAGGCCAAGACGCTCAAAAGCCCTATAGCTTTACGTGCTGAGCTCACAGGTGAGACTGTCCCCTCTGTCCTGGCACGGGGAGCGAGGGTCCCAGGGTACCCTCGGCATCTGCTTCGTGCACATCATGGTGGGAAATGCCGCGGAGGAGGCTGAGAGAAGAGGCAGCCCTGCTCTTGGGAACAGGGAGCAGGCAGGTTTACCCACCAGGGGCACGCGGAGTGCAGGTGTGCGGCAGGCCAGTGCAGCTGCAGGAGGCAGAGGGGCCTTGTCTGCCACAGACTGTGTTAAGGGGAGAGCGGTTGCCAGGCCTCCAGGGACTGCATGCTCCCCGCGTCAGTGGGGAAGGGCTTTGGGGCCTGAGATGGAGGCAGGGGGCCAGTGGGAACCTGTTGCAAAACCCAAGTCCAGGGATAGGCCCCACCTGTCTGTACCAGGCACAGCCTCAGCATGGAGCCCGTGGTGCTCACCCTCGGGCTGATCTTGGCTCGGCCTGCACTGCGCCATGATCATTGCTCAGACGAGGGCCCAGCTGCCTTCAAGGCAGCTTCTAGAACCCTGGGGAGGGATGGCTGCCCACTCCCACCCCTCCTCTGTTGGACGGAGGTTAGAGGGGGTTCATTTCCTGGCACCCAGCAAATGGTGTCACAAAAATATTCTTTGCCCCTTGACATCTTCGTGCCAGGGACAGAGGAGGGAGCAGCTCCAGAACACACCGTGTGGACAGCGCCCTCCCGCTTTCTGCCGTCCCCATGGCATCGGGGCTGCCTGCTTCACTCGCCAAAGCCAGCTGCCGGGCCTTCCGCGCACCCGGTTCCCTCCATAAGGCCACGTGTGCAGACGGCGGCAGCTCCTGAGCTCACACAGCTTGACCCCAACACAGCGCCAGGCATGGTGTTGATGAGTGTCGGAAATGGGAAATTGCAGCACTGTAGTCTGCACTGTTGGCACACCCCGAAGGTGGCCCTTGCTGACCACCAGACAATTACCATCTCCCTGGGCTTTGTCACAAAATCAAAACACAGCACAATAGAAGGCCCCGGGATGTGCTGGACTTATGCACCTGGTCGCGCAGCTCTCCCTGTGGTGGTTTGCTCGGCTCCTCCAGCCGGGGCTCCCTGCGTGAGCATGAGTCAGCTGCAGCTGCCCTGGGGTGACTGGGAGAAAAGGTGTCCTGCCACTTGGCACTAAGTTGTGCCAAAAATTAATGTGTTTCACTGAATCAGAGTGGTGAGGGCACCCTGCCTGTCTGGGACTGGGGTGCCTTGTGTTTATGAGGAGGTGTGGCAGCCCCCACCGGGAGCGGGTGGAAAGCATGGGTGGCAGTGGAGTCTTTATTGCCCTGGGAGGTGCAGCGTGGGCAGTGGCTGGCATCCCAGTAAGGCGCCTGTCTCCCTCATTCCTGCCGCACATCTCCTGCAATGGCCGTGTCCCTGCGTGCTAACCGCCTTTCTGCTTTGCTTACCCCAATAGCCCAAAGCAGCTTCAAGACGGTGAACAGCAGCTCCACATCGACCATGTGTGAACTAACACGTAAGTGCGCTCTCAGCGGGAAGCCCACGCCGCGAGGCGCACACACTGTTGTGCCCAGGGCCAGCCGGCCTCTCAGTGCAAGGGAAAACCAGCCTGGATTAATGGTTCCAGTTTCTGGAATCGCCTCTCAAACGCTGTGTCTCCACATACCAAACCACCAGGGAGATAGGAAAGGAAGGTTCTAGAAACAGAGGCTGGGGAAATTTACTAATATCTGGTCTTCAAGTTTGGGACAGAGAGGAAAGCCAGATAGAACAAGATCTCTCCAGCTTCTGTATTCCTTTTTATTATTATTATTCTATTTTTTTTCATTCTATTTTTTTATTCTATTTTTTTCATTCTATTTTTTTTTACATTCTATTTCCAATGCCAGTCTTACTCCATCTGTTCATAATTTCAAAACTCTTTCTTTTTTCTTTTCTTTTCTTTTCTCTCTCTCTCTTTTTATTTTATTTTATTTTATTTTTTTAAAGAGACAGAGTCTCACTCTGTTGCCCAGGCTGGAGTGCAGTGGCGCGATCACGGCTCACTGCAGCCTTGAACTCCTGGCTCAAGTGATCCTCCTGCCTCAGCCCCCCAAGTAGCTGGGACTACAGGCTTGTGCCACCATGCCTGGCTAATTGTTTGCTGTTGTTGTTGTTGTTTAAGAGACAGGGTCTTGCCATGTTGTACAGGCTGGTCTTGAATGCCTGGACTCAAGCGATCCTCTTGTCTCAACCTCCCAAGATGCTAGGGCTATAGGCGTGAGCCACTGCACCCAGCCTCTTTCTTTTTTTATTGTGGTAAAATACATATAACAGAAAATGGACTTTCTTAACCATTTTTAAGTGTACAGTTCAGTGGCATTAAGCACATTCAGGCCATTATGCAGCCGTCACCATCATTCTCCAGAACTTTCTCATCTTCCCAAACTGAAACTGTCCCTGTTACATACTAACTCCTTATACCCCATCCTCACCAGCACCCACATTCAACTTTCTGTCTGGATGGATTCGACAACTCTGGGGACCTCGTAGAAGGGGAATCATGTAGTATTTGTCTTTTCGTGGCTGGCTTATTTCATGAGCTTAACGTCTTCAAGGTCCATGCATGTCAGGGCAGGCGTCAGAATCTTAGTCAAGACTGAATAATATCCTGTCGAATGAAAGACCACATTTTGTTTATCCGCTCAGCCTCCCTTCGCCCTTTAAACAAACCGTGTTGTTTCTCCTTTGATTCCTAGCTAGGGAGGAGTTTCAAAATCCAACTCAGGGGCTAGACATGGAGCCATAATGTGATTGACTTCAACAGGAAACTTGGCCAGTTTGGGAAGTGGACCAGGCAGGAGGAAGGGGCTGGCCCTCCCCGAGCCTGCTGTGTTCCAGCATCCTGCAGGGGTGGGGGTGATATGCAGGGCAGCACAGGTCCAGCATGGCCCAAGCGCACCACCATCCGCACCAGCACAGAGGTGCCAGGCACACACGCGGGGCCTCGGAAAAGCCAAGCCACCCACAGAGCAGTGTTAACCAGTGGGAGAACATTCCAGAATGTTTTGGCTTAAAGGTCAACGACTCTCACCCTGTCACTTACTGCAGAGCTGGCGCTTGGCCCCCTGCCCCGGGGAGCTCTCTGTGTGCGGCAGCCCACGCCCGTTCTTTCCCAAGACACGGCCACTAAGGTCTCAGAGGCCTTTGGTTACCAGTGTCTTTCCACATTCCATTTTCAATGCCACAGTCTTACTCCATCTGTGCATAATTTCAAGGAGAGATTCTGAACCAAAAGGCAGGCCCAGGTTATGTTCTCTATTCTACATCAGGGGTCTCCAACCACTTTGACACCAGGGATGGGTTTTGTGGCAGACAATTTTTCCATAGACCAGGTGGTGGGGGATGGTTTTGGGAGGATGCAAGCGCATCCCACTTGTTGTGCACTTTATTTCTATTATTAGTACATTGTAATATAGAATGAAATAATCCTACAACTCACCATCGTGTGGAATCAGTGGGAGCCCTGAGCTTGTTTTCCTGCAACTAGACAGTCCCATCTTGCGGGGAGTGGAGACAGTGACAGATCATCAGGCATTAGATTCTCGTAAGAGTGCAAACCCTATTGGGAACCACATGTGCGAGGGAGCGAGGTCGTGCAAGGCATAAGGAGCGTGCAACCTAGATCCCTCGCACGCACAGCTCCCACTAGGGTTTGCACTTCTATGAGAATCTAAGCTGACCTGACAGAAGGCAGAGCTCAGGTGCAATGCAAGAGATGGGGAGCAGCTCTCAATACCCATGAAGCTTTGTTCGCTCACCCGCCACTTACCTCCTGCTTTGCAACCTGGTTCTTCACAGGTCATGGTTAGTGGCCCAGGGGTTGGGGACCTCTGTTCTAAATCCTTTACTTTAGAGGAGGAAGCTCCATGCCCATGCTGCCTTTTACCTGAACACAGGACAGGATGGATGCGTCTTTTTCTTAAAGGTGGTGGGTGCTTAATTAATATGGAGGAGAGAAGAAGGGTGCCCTGGTCACAGAAGATGCAGGCATTTCACAGATTTCTAACAATCCTCGCTCCTCTCCTTGGAGGGTGCTGCTTGCTTCATTGTGGTTCATAGGGGGAACTTTGGAAGAACAGAAGGTGTCCTGGTGGAAGCTGATCCGTGTTTCCTTCAACCCTGCAGATTTAAAGAAGTACCGGCGCTATGAAGTAATAATGACTGCCTATAACATCATTGGTGAGAGCCCAGCCAGCGCACCCGTGGAGGTCTTTGTCGGCGAGGCTGGTAAGCTCTGTGCACCTCCAACCCCACTGCCAGAGAGGGCCACAGTGGGGGGGACAGCCAAGCATGCTGCGCCCAAGCCCCTCAGGTATCCAGCAGTGCTCTTCCTCCTTGAACACGTTGCTGCCAGGGCTGAGGTCTCCATGCCACTGGCAGGAAAAGATGGGCTCAGCTGAGAGGTAGAATTTCCTGACAGCTTCAGTGAATGGTCAAGTCTTGCTTTTGCGACCTCAAGGGTTTGTTGGATACCTGGGGCCATCATATTTACTGTGGCTTTGCTCTACGAGCGTGGCGTTAACTCAGTGGGGATCTAGGTGTGTGGGAAATGGAACCTCGTTATCGGGAGGGGTAAATGTTTGTATCTGCATCGGTCCTTCAGTGTGCTTCGGCAGTGGCCTGATGACCGCAACCAGCCTGGTAACCTGGTAACAGCCCATTCTCTGCCCAGGTGCCCTGAGCCCCCTGGATCCTGGCGTCCTACCCCCGGGCACAGGTCTGGGAAAGCTACATGGGCCATTGTCTCCACCCCTTTTAGATAAGATGTGACTCTTGGGTCCGATTCAAGGGACTCTGCCTTCTGTGGGGCTCATAGTGGGAAGCAACGTCTGTTTTTAGATCAGATCCTGTCCCTATCCCTCTCTGGGCCCAGTGTGCCTCAGGTAATGACAGCAACGCCCTCCCTTCGGCCGAGGAGACCACAGAAGCTCACCCTCCTCGCTGGATGGTAACTTGAAAGAGTTCCCTGATTTCACTCAGAGCCTGGTGTTCCTGCTCCGTTCCGCTGGTGCAGATTTAGAAGGGTGTTGCTTCAGGTCCGAAATAATTAGAGTGTCCCTGAGGACAGAGGCTCAGCCCAGCAGGAGCTGCGGACTGCGGGGGCCAGAGGAGGGAAACACATCAGATGACCTTTTGCAATTGGGAAGGGTTATGATTATGAACCAATCAATAGCACCAAGGGTCAAGCCCAGCAGATTTTTTCCGGAATGGCCAAGCAGTATTTGCATACAAATGAGGATGCATGGAGAGAGGCACCAAGAGCATAGGGTATTTCTGCCTCTCTTTGCACGAAAATGTGTTCAAAGGGGTCACTCAGAGCCACCGAGGTACAGCTCGGCATTCCCTCAGGGATGGACCTGGCTATAGAAGAGCCCCCTCATGGTGGGGCCAAGGGTGCTGTCAGGAAGGGGTGTCAGGGTGCCATCAGTAACGGGTGGGTGTCACTGCAGACAGTGACTATGGCAGATTCTGTGCTCTCCAGTTGTATTCAGGTGACTGGGCCCCAGTTGGCCCCCATGGCTGGGGGTGGGTCAGCCTGTGGCATGGGGGGAGCACGGGACAGGAGGATCGGGAACCGCAGTGTCTGAACTGCAAGCAGCATGTGTGGGTGTCGGAGCTCTGCCTTAGGGTTCACCTGTGCCCGGGGGTAGGACGCCAGGATCCAGGGGGCTCAGGGCACCTGGGCAGGCCCTGAGTGTCAGGCACCGAGGCAGACGTCCAGAGAAAAGAGCTTCAGCAAGCGAGGGGTGCCAGGAAGGGGTTCAGGAAGCCAGGGGTGGCGTGGGAAACGAGGGGGTCACACCAGGGCCAGCCAAGCGGCAATGAGACTGGATGCCCAGCACCCGGCTCCAGGTCTGTGCCCAGCGCCCGGCTCCAGCTCTGTGCCCAGCACCCAGCTCCAGTTCTAGGGTCTGTGCTGTTTGTGTCTTAGTTCCTTCTCACACTGCTGTAAAGGGACAGGGTAATTTATAAGAAAAGATGTTTACTTGGCTTACAATTCTGCAGGTTGCACAAGAAGCATGGTGGTCTCTGCTTCCGGGGCGGCCTCAGGAAGCCTCCAATCATGGTAGAAGGCGAAGGGGGAGCAGGCATCTCACATGGCACAAAGAGGAGCAAGCGAGAGCGAGGGGGAGCTGCCACATGTTTAATGACCAGATCTCATGAGAACTAAGCCATTCATGAGAAACCCACCTCCATGTCCCCATCCCCTCCCGCCAGGCCCTACCTCCACATTGGGGATTATAGCTCGACATGAGATTTGGGCGGGGACACATCCAGACCATATGGGTCTGTCATTGTGATAAGATGCGTGTAACATGTAAACCATCCTCTGTGTGCAATTCAGCGGCATTCAGAATGTTGAGCAGCCATCACCAACATCCACCGCTGGGACTTTCTCTTCTTCCCAAACAGAAATCCCATACCTATTAAGCAGGCCCCCTATTCCCTCTGTTCCCATCCTGGGCAGCCTCTCACTCTCTGTCACTGCAAATTCACCTGTTCTCAGTACTTCGTACAAATGGAGCCGTGCGATGCTTGTCTTTCTGTGTCTGGATCCTTGCCCTCGGCGTGAGGTTTTTGAGGTTCACCCGAGTTGTAGATGTTGGAATTTCCTTCCTTTTCATGGCTCAGTAATATTCCATTGCATGCATGTACCATATTTGGTGTGTCTGCTCCTCCAGGGACGGTCACTCGGGGGCCTTCCCCCTTTTAGACTTGTGAGTGTGCTTCTGTGAGTGGGGGAGCAAAGGGCTTTTTAGCAGTGCGGAGCTGAGACAGCCCAGGTGTGGGGAGGCAGCTGCAGAGGCTGCAGGTGGGCCCGGCCTCTGAGGTTAGCATCATGGTGCGATGTGGCTTCTCCCTTCCCCACTGGGCCCCCATCTCCCTTCCCTCCCCTCCCCACATGTATGTCCCTGCTCCAGCCCTCCCTTCCAGAGGCCTGCCCTTCTGCACCCCCTTCTCTTCAACATACGCACGCCCTCCACATGACTCACCTCTGCCCAGAGGCCTGGGCTCTGCCACCTGCACCCTTTGCAGTCCCACAGAAGGGAAAGGAAAGCCTACTTGCTGTGCCCACGCCACCAAGGCCTTTTCCACGCACACACACAAGCTCCACGTGGCCACGCTGCACTGCCCACAGAGCTCGAAGGCAGGTGCTGAGAGTCAGCAGAGCCGGTTCCCACAGCGTCATACCCGCCCGGAGTGCCCTGTGCAGCCCCTCCAGTTTAACTTGGTTGAGGCCTGAAGCACCCTTTTTGCATTTTTTTTTCTTTTTTTGAGATGGTGTCTTGCTCTGTCACCCAGGCTGGAGTGCAGTGGCATGATCTCAGCTCACTGCAACCTCCACCTCCACTTGAGAGAATTGCTCTCAAGTAATTCTCCTGCCTCAGCCTCCTGAGTAGCTGGGATTACAGGCACCCACCACCACGTCCGGCTAATTTTTTGTGTTTTTAGTAGAGGCGGGGTTTCACCGTGTTAGCCAGGATGGTCTCGATCTCCTGACCTCACAATCTGCTCACCTCAGCCTCCCAAAGTGCCGTTTAGGCTTTTATCCCCAGAGGAGCAGCTGCTGCTGCCCCCAGGAAGCCCTCTCTGTCCCCTCCCTCTAGGTGGGGCTGAGATTTCTCCTCTGTGCTGTATCCTGGGTGCTTCGTGCACAGCTCTGCCTTCCCCCCAGCAGCGGGACTGTCTTCTCTTTAATGCTGCTGCTCCCCCTTAGACCACAGCTGCTTCATCCCCAACAGCTCCTCACCCCAGGGTTATTGCCACAGGTGCTCAGAATATCTTTGTCATTCGGGCAAATCCCAAACTTCCACAGGGCAGGAGAGCAGCCGGGGAAACCCTGCACCCAGGGACGTGTCCTGGAGACAAGGCCTCCCAGATGCACTGAGATGAAGGCAGGTGGAATCAGTGTCTCATCGCAGGGCTGCAGGGAAGGCTAATCAGAAGCTCCTCATCCTGAGGAAGGGGAGGGAGAAGGAACGGGTGGCTCTGTCCCCATAACAGCAGATAACACTGTCACCATCTGCCACACAAGCACTCATGTCCTGGGCTGGTCTTTCCATGGGGCTCCTTCCTGAGGCTCCTGGCAGTAGGGAGGGAGAGGCAGAGCTGGTGAGGGTGCACAGGCTGGCAGAAGCTGTGCATCCACTTTAGGGCCCTGGCAGGCGGGGAGCAGCGCCAGGAGCCGGGGTTCACACAAGGGAATGTAACCGCCCAGCAGGCTCCTCCTGCCTGCCGCACAGACAAAACCAGTTCACTAAGCCCATGGTATTGCAGTAAAGACAGAGTTTAATTAGAGCCCAGCCACGTGGGGGAACCAGAGTTCTCACTGGAGTCAGTCTCCCTGAGGGCTCAGAGGTTAGACTTTTCCAGGACAGTTTGGTGGGCGTTCGGGCTGGGGAGCAGGTGCTGCTGATTGGCTGGGGATGCCGTCACAGGGCGTGAGAAATGGTCCTCACCTGCTGAGTCCACCTCTGAGTGGGGCCACAGGACCGCCTGAGCTGTGAGTCATGAATCCAGGTAGGGTCAGTCCGTTTTCAGAATGCAAAAGTCTGAAAAGCATCTCCAAAGATCAATCTTAGTTTCCATAATAGTGATGTTATCTTTAGAAGCAACTGGGGAAGTCACTAATCTTGTGACCTCTGGTCACATGACTCCTGAGCAGTGAGGGATTATAGCTTATGGGCTGGGTGCGGTGGCTCACGCCTGTCATCTCAGCACTTTGGGAGGCTGAGGCGGGTGAATCACCAGGTCAGGAGTTTAAGACCAGCCTGGATAACATGGTGAAACCCCATCTCTACTAAAAATACAAAAAATTAGCTGGGCATGGTGGCACCTGCCTATAATCCCAGCTACTCAGGAGGCTGAGGCAGGAGAATCGCTTGAACCGGGACCCAGGAGGCAGAGGTTGCAGTGAGCCAAAATCACACCACTGCACTCCAGCCTGGGTGACAGAGTGACTCCATCTCAAAAAAAAAAAAAAAAAAAAAAAGGGGGCTTACATTTTAACTGAGTTCAGGCTTCTCCCATACTCCTAATCTCTCAGCCTTTTATTAGTTTTACAAAGCCAGTTTCCACCCCTAAATGAGGAGGGGGATTGGCTTTAGGGAAGGATCATTATCAGCCTTGCTGTAAGTTAAACTAAAAATTAAATTCCTAGACACGGCCCCTGCATCCAGGTCTCTGCTCCGCCCCACCCATTGGATGGGGCTTGGCTCTTGCAC